CTGCTGAACATGTTAGAAGTGGTTACAAGAGACATAATGGAAGAAGAGGGCCCTAGGTAATTCATTTGAGTTTGGCTTTCTCCTGAATCAGTAATCATTTTCTTTTTAATCATATACTTATTTATCATCTCCTTTCCACAGCACGCTAGAGTCGAGTCACAATGGATCTTATGGCAAGTACGGAATAATGACCCCTCTTCATCAACAGAGCAAATATTTCAGCCAACTTCGGTTCCCAGTTTACTCTCAAACCGAAGCTTGGAAAGAAAAAGTCTGTTCCCGGTTTACTCTTTTTTTTTTTGGAAATTCATGTCAACTTGCCTTAATAGTAATAAGTTTGATTTTGTTTTTCTCGAGGAGATTTTAAGTTGATATTTTTTCTTCCGTTTTTACTGGTGTAGATCAAGAGACTTCATCTTTTACTTACTGTCAAGGAATCGGCTATGGATGTGCCATCCAACTTGGAAGCTCGAAGGCGACTTACCTTCTTTTCAAATTCATTGTTTATGGACATGCCTCCTGCACCCAAAGTTCGCAACATGCTTTCCTTCTCGTAGGTCCCATTCTCTTTCAACAGAAGTTATAACAATTTGGTGCACTTTCATTCTGTTCCCAGTTGAAGAAGCATTACACATTAGGACATTTCTTGTTTAGTGCTCTAGTATCTGTCCACTGAATCTGTCAGAACACAGGGAACATTAACTCAATGACATGCTTCTTGGACACATAAAGTGCATGAATGAACTGATAATTTATTGAATCCACTTGTGAAATAATTTACTCGTTGATTCTGTGCTGCTGCTTGCTGCATGGAGTTAATTTTTTTCATAATATGAAAAATAATTTTTGGAAGAATAATTCCGTTGGGCTGTAGAGCGAGAAGCCAATTAGGAAGTGGTTCCTCCAATTCGGTATCTCCTACGAGCAGCAAGGAAGTACAAAAACAATAAAATTGCAACATCTTATTGTATTTGTTTTTGCTTTCCCACAGGGTCCTAACACCATACTATTCAGAGGATGTTCTTTTTTCTGTTAATGGCCTGGAAAAGCCAAATGAAGATGGAGTCTCTATACTTTTTTACTTGCAGAAGATCTTTCCAGGTTTCAGTTTTCTTTTGCTCTTTCAGATGCTCATATAGAACAGTTATTTGTGTTCTGGAGTTTAATTATGTCATCTCAATCCATCATTTACTACAGATGAATGGACCAACTTTCTAGAACGAGTTGAATGCGTCAGTGAGGAAGAACTCAGGGCAAGAGATGATTTGGAAGAGGAGCTTCGCCTATGGGCATCGTACAGAGGCCAAACTTTGACCAGAACCGGTATGCAATATCTTTCGCTTCCTCTCTGTCTTGATCTTTCATCAAAAGGACTGCGTCATTTCCTTTTCTCTAAGAGAGAATTTTATTTTGATAAATGCACTCTGCGTGATTTCCTTATTCGATCAACAAGTGCGAGGCATGATGTACTACCGAAAGGCTTTGGAGCTTCAAGCCTTCCTTGATATGGCAAAAGATGAAGGTGCGTGAGGAAGATTTCGTATGATTCCTTTCGATTCTTATGAGAAGTGAAATCTTTCTTCAAAGCAATGTCATTTTGTTGTAGAATTAATGAAAGGGTACAAGGCTCTGGAGTTGAGCAGTGAAGAAGCATCAAAGAGTGAAAGGTCACTCTGGGCACAGTGTCAAGCACTTGCTGATATGAAATTCACCTATGTGGTCTCATGCCAACAGTATAGTATCCATAAAAGATCTGGTGATCAACGTGCTAAAGACATATTAAGGCTTATGACAAAGTTTGTCTTCTATCATCTTCCCTCTCATCTGATCTGTCTTTCCTTCCCCAAATGGCATTGGTTATGTTTGTTATTTCCCTGTGTCAGGTATCCATCTATCCGTGTTGCTTACATCGATGAGGTGGAGCAAACACACAAAGACGGTTCCAGGGGGACAGATGAAAAACTTTATTACTCAGCTCTTGTGAAAGCAGCCCCACAGACAAAACCTATCGATTCTTCTGAAGCTGTTCAAACACTGGACCAGGTATAAAGTTTAAAATAGTTTTGTGCGATTTACTTTAGTCCATCCCTCCCTTGCCATGCAGGTTTTGTGTTGGCTCTTTCCATTTTCACTACCTTTCTGGAAAACCATGTTGGGAACAAGCCGATGCAATCACATTTCAGGGAGTTACTCATGCTATCATTTTTTCTTCTGGAGAGACTGAGTTTATTTTATTTTCTCAGGTCATTTATCGGATAAAGCTTCCAGGACCCGCAATATTAGGAGAGGGAAAACCCGAAAATCAGAACCATGCTATCATTTTTTCACGTGGAGAAGGATTGCAGACAATTGACATGAACCAGGTTTGCTGTTCTGTCTTTTTTAATCCGGGCTGAGTTCCCTAATGAATCTCGTTCAAGCTTATAGTTGTTAAAACTCTTGAGCTCAAGAGGTTTGATCAAACAGGATAACTACATGGAAGAAGCTTTCAAAATGAGGAACTTGCTACAAGAATTTCTTGAAAAGCATGGAGGTGTAAGATATCCTACAATACTTGGACTTAGAGAGCATATTTTCACTGGCAGGTATTACAGGATGATGATGTTCTGCCTTTTTAACCATTCATAGTGTATGCTTTTATCTACTACTCATGTCACTTTGTTTGCAGTGTTTCTTCTCTTGCATGGTTTATGTCAAATCAAGAGAATAGCTTTGTCACAATTGGACAGAGAGTGCTAGCTAGTCCGTTGAAGTAAGTTTCACCCTTTCTTGACCATTTGTCTTCAAAACAAGGAAACCTTATGAGGGCAGTTCCGGAGGTTCATGATTTCCAGTACTGATTTGTTGTTTTATTTTATGTTCCAGAGTGAGGTTCCATTATGGTCATCCAGATGTTTTCGATCGGTTGTTCCACCTCACCCGAGGGGGTGTCAGCAAAGCGTCTAAAGTTATCAATCTAAGTGAAGACATATTTGCAGGCACTCTCTTGATGATCCCTTTTCTCGGGCGATACACATATTTTGCCTTTGTATGGTTTCTTTCTCATACCTTTAGCCCTTTCAGGTTTCAATTCTACTCTACGTGAAGGCAGTGTGACACATCATGAATATATACAAGTCGGCAAAGGGAGAGATGTTGGCCTCAACCAGATTTCGATGTTCGAAGCAAAGATAGCTAACGGAAATGGCGAGCAAACACTCAGTCGTGACATATACAGACTGGGACACAGATTTGATTTCTTTAGGATGCTGTCTTGTTATGTCACTACAATTGGGTTTTACTTCAGTACCATGGTATCTATAGAAATCCTCCCTTCTTTCCTCAATCAGTGGATATGCATGGCAATTTGTCTGTGTCTGAATCCTCATATGTCTTTTGACAGTTAACATCGTATGTCTTTTGACAGTTAACGGTGCTTACGGTCTATGTATTTCTTTATGGTCGGCTCTATCTCGCGCTTAGCGGACTTGAAGAAGGATTAAGCAACCAGCGAGCTATTCGTGACAATAAGTCCCTTCAGGCAGCTCTTGCTTCTCAGTCACTTGTGCAGATTGGCTTTTTTATGGCCTTGCCTATGATGATGGAAATTGGCTTGGAGAGGGGCTTCCATAATGCATTGATCGATTTCGTGCTCATGCAGCTACAACTTGCCCCCGTGTTTTTCACATTTTCACTTGGAACAAAAACCCATTACTACGGCAGGACGCTGTTTCACGGAGGCGCCGAATACAGAGGCACTGGCCGTGGCTTTGTGGTCTTCCATGCTAAGTTTGCCGAGAACTATAGGCTTTATTCCCGTAGTCACTTTGTGAAGGGGATTGAGTTGATGATTCTCCTACTTGTCTATCAGATCTTTGGCCATGGTTATAGGGGTGTAGTTGCATATATTCTGATAACGGTTTCAATATGGTTCATGGTGGGGACATGGCTCTTTGCTCCTTTCTTGTTCAACCCGTCTGGTTTCGAGTGGCAAAAGATTGTGGATGACTGGACAGACTGGAACAAGTGGATATACAATAGAGGGGGAATAGGTGTCCCTCCAGAGAAGAGTTGGGAGTCTTGGTGGGAGAAGGAACAAGGACATCTTCATCAGTCAGGGAAACGTGGGATCATCCTCGAGATTGTTTTAGCTTTGCGCTTTTTCATCTTTCAGTATGGTCTCGTGTATCACCTTAGCAGCGTCAAAAAGAAGAAAACTCAAAGTTTTCTGGTAAGTTTTACCTGTTTTAAATTTCATTCTACTATCGGGTCACTGAGAATTCTGCTACAGGATAACTTGTAATGACTGGAAAATGACTGATGTTTCAGATTTACGGGATTTCATGGCTCGTGATATTATTCATTCTACTCATTGTGAAGGTATTTAACTCTCAACGGTTTCTGTTCTCGGTGGATTGATTCCCCGAGTGTCACGATGTTGATCTTGTTTTCTCGTTTCCACAATGCTTGTTTTTTCATTCGTGAACATCACTGGGTTAGCTGATCTAGTGCTTCTGAATGATGTTTTTTTTCTCTGAAACTATCAACAGGGATTGAGCGCAGGAAGACGACGGTTCAGCGCTGCTGTGATTATGGCAAGATTAGTTTCCTTGAAGATGGAAACGGAGGTGATCTTCAAAATCGAGGCTGAAACTTGCTATTAAATGTTTCACTTGGGATACTTGAATCTCAAGCTTATTGGTGTTATTTTTGCATTTTCGATGCATTTATTTCTGCCCTGAGGGAAAATTACTGGAAGATGTACTCAGTATATGCTAATCTAAATGTTTATTTTAGGGATCCCATTGAGCGCTTTGGTTCAGCACAAACTTTCAGCTTCTCTTCAGGATCATCAAGGGTCTTGTTTTCCTCACGTTTACGGCAATCCTCATTACTTTCCTTGCGCTCCCACTCATAACACTCAAAGATATCTTCATCTGCATTCTTGCCTTCATGCCTACTGGATGGGGAATGCTTCTGGTAAGTCTTCCTTCCTGCTCCATAAAACTCGTACATTTTCAATCTCGATGCCTGGTCTGTAGAGTTAGGACAATGGGATTTGCAGTTATGCCAAGAGCAGTTTCATCTGCGTCTGTCTTATATTCTACCTACTGCAGATTGCACAGGCTTGCAAGCCTCTGATCGAACGGTTGGGGTTCTGGTCATCGGTTAAAACGCTGGCTCGGGGCTACGAGATCGTGATGGGGTTGCTCTTGTTCACGCCGGTGGCGTTCTTGGCTTGGTTCCCTTTCGTTTCGGAGTTTCAGACAAGAATGCTCTTTAACCAAGCCTTCAGCAGAGGTCTCCAGATCTCTCGTATTCTTGGCGGTCAGAGAAAAGACCGGTCTTCCAAGAGCAAGGAGTGAAATCACATATCCATCCATGTTACAACAATGGAACGCAGAGATACATACATAATACATATGATACGCCTTTGAAGCATCATTTGGTTGTAAATAAGCCCCCGTTCATATGGCGTACCACAAGCTTGTGTAAACCGGAAAGCATAGGTGCCTGTTTTCTCTTCCGCGGTTGCTTCTTTTGCAAGTAATCTATGTTTTCATCTGTTGGATCGATCTTCAAGTTCCAACTTCGATCTCCAATTGGGATGTCGAGAGTTTAATTTACGAGTTTACCATTAAATCAGACGATAATTATTTTGCACCTTGGTGGAATCTCATTTTTCATTATCGGTTTTGGCAGCCGAATCTCGAAATTGGTGCTCGGAGATTTTCTCCACTGACCTTTCTCTTTTTAATTCTAAAAATTTTCGTTTGACAAATTTATAAAATCTACCATTAGAGGTGATTTATAAATCAATATCATCGAAATTGTTGGTCGAAAAACTTTAAAATTTATTTTCTATCGTTTTATAAATTTAGAAGTTTTTACAAGTTTTATCTGTTCTTTTACAACATGCCTTGTTTTCCAAGAAACACAAACAGACAAGACAAAAAAAAATTACACATCACATGTGACGTCGCCATCTGTTGTGACCTAAGTGTGATAAGTAAACCTGCACCAGACGAACTGACAAAGGCCTAATTGAGAGCCCTTGTCGTATTCTTTCCCGTTTTAATCACATCAATCGAAAGATTCATCAATCCTTCCACTTTTATTTGCGTCACTACACACGTCACGAGATTGCCCGTGCATGTGTGTATCTCTGTTCCCGTACACGCATGTGCTTACCCCTGCATACATACGTACATACATATATATATATATATATATACACACAAACACACACAAAGCTACAGATCGGGAGAGTTCATCTGTTTATTATAGAAAAGATAAATCTTGCGGAGAATTGGCAGAGTTGGAGAGCAAAATGCCACAGCCACACATTCTGATAGTGACGTTTCCGGCACGAGGACACATCAATCCGTCGCTCCACTTCTCCGGCCGACTCATCCGAACCACCGGCGCACGTGTCACCTTCGCCACGTGCGTCTCTGCCTTCCGCCGCTCCATGATCCCTCCCGCCGCCGCCGATTCCCTCTCTTTCCTCTCCTTCTCAGACGGCTTCGACGATGGCCACGTGTCGTCCACCTCTTCCGACTACGACCACGACCAGTGGATGGATAGAATCAGAGTTGACGGCACCAAAACTCTGTCGGATTTCATCGAATCTAACCGTCGAGGAGAGTCTCCGGTGACTTGTTTGGTCTACACGCTTCTTCTCACCTGGGCTCCTGCGGTGGCGCGTCGCTTCCACATCCCATCATCGCTTCTCTGGATACAGCCCGCTTTGGTTTTCGACATCTATTACTACTACTTCAACGGCTATGCCGAGGTTGTCTCCAAAGCTCTGGCTCGGTCGGATCCCGTCGAGTTGCCGAAACTACCGTTGCTTGCGGCCAGGGATCTTCCTTCCTTCCTCACTCCTTCCAACATGTATAAATATGCATGCGCTGCGTTTCAAGATCAGATAGATCGTCTCAGAGAAGATCCCAACCCTAAAATCCTCGTCAACACTTGTGATGCATTGGAGAGAGAAGCGTTGAGGGCGATTCCGAATCTTGAAATGGTAGCTGTAGGTCCATTGCTTCCCATGGAGATTTTCCCGGGAAACAATAACCGGTTTTCGGGTGATTCGATCCGAGATTCGGAAGACCATGGTTATACCCTTTGGTTGGATTCGAAGCCAGATTCCTCTGTTATTTATGTTTCTTTTGGAACACTTGCCGTGTTGCCCAAGAAACAGATGCAAGAACTTGCAAAGGCACTAATAGAAACGAAACGTCCGTTCTTGTGGGTCATAACCGATAAACCGAACAAAAGGGCGAATGAAGAAGAAGAAGGAGAAGAGATAGGCAACATAGCTGATTTCAGACAGGAGCTGGAAGAAATCGGGATGGTAGTGACATGGTGCTCGCAGACTCAGGTTCTGAAACACAAATCGGTCGGATGTTTCTTGACGCACTGCGGATGGAACTCGACGCTGGAGAGTCTTGTTCTCGGCGTGCCCGTCGTGGCGTTTCCGCAATGGACAGACCAGCCAACGAACGCGAAGCTTCTGGAAGATTGGTGGAAAACTGGTGTGAGGGTGAAGGAGAACGAGGAAGGGTTGGTCGAGAGCGGCGAGATAAGGCGGTGCCTGGAGGCGGCGATGGAGGATAAGGCGGAGGAGCTGAGGAGGAACGCCGGTAAGTGGAGAGATTTAGCGGCGGAGGCCGGCGGAGAAGGAGGATCTTCCGACACGAACATCGCGGCTTTTGTGGAATCTTGTGGTGGGATGTCGTACGGAACTGATGACAAGTCAGCGAGCCTACGTGGCAACTACATCTGCCCTAATTGATGTTTGTGATCGGTAAATGTGCAATGAACGATTCTTATCCACAAGGGTATGATATGTCGTTTACTATCTGTTGTTCTAGAATAAATTACGCAAATGCCATCGGATTGTAGTAATTATCACATCAAAGTTACGTGAGGACAAAAAATCTTATTATAGCAATCAAATCAAATCACCGATTTACCAAATGATGGAAAATCTAATAGATAGTCAATAATCTTATAATGTAATTAATATATAATAACGTAACCAAAACATATGAAATCAAACAACGAGAGAGAAATCTACCAACTCTCTAGACTGAAGCCAAGGCTTGACGACGACAACAGAGTTGAACATCTTAGTGGTACGGTCCGACAATGTCGTCTCGATCTTCAAGAAGTATTTGGTCCCTGACACAACCTGCTGTCGAGCCTCGACAACTCTATTGAACACCAACGGCGCCACGTTCCCGTTCTTCTCTTGTTCCTTCCTATTGAATTCTTCCACGCAGTACCTAATGAATTATTTGCATCCCATTAGAACCGGATTCTTCATTGGCTAAATCCACAGAAATGCAATCATTTGATTCATTATAAACAGACCCTTTTGCCCAAATGATCCAAATTCTCAATACTACACACATATATATACAAGTGTAGATGTGTGGATACATATATACCTTCCGAGATCTTGGACTTCTTTGTTGCCATCGACGCCTTGGATTTCCGTCTTGCCACCGACCTCTCCTAAACCAGAGGCCGAATGGGTCACGACAGAAACCACGACCGACACTAACACTAACCACAGTCCCGGAGACATCCTCGCACTAATTACCGCCGTAGCCATTGTATAATTGTATCTCTCGCCGAATGTTGTTCCTATAACATTATCCTTTCTTCTTTTTCAAATGTTATAAGAAGCAAAACTTTCATCTTTTTATAGAAGGCGAGAGCGTGGTGGCGAAACGCAAGTTTGTCCCCACGCTATTGACAACTTCCGCGTCTTTTACGCTTTGCCCACTTGAAATTTCAACGCACTTTGAGGACGTGCACGTGTGTGTATTCATGAGCGTGTGTGTGTATATATATTATACAATAACAATATTAGAAAACAAAGCATATGGAAAATAAAAGCCTCTCATTCTTTCTAGTGTAATCTATAGATCAAGCTCTTATTATTTATTTATAAATTACAACAACATCCCGGGGTCCGGACCGACCCATATTGATCCATATATAGTTAATAACACTCGAAAGACAAAATTTTGTTGTGCATATTTTATTTGTTCTCCTCTTTTCGGTTTCATTCGAAGAAAGGCTTGATCAAGATTCGTAGGAGAGAGGGTTAGCGACGGGAGAGAAATCGAGCAATTCCTTTGACTGAAGCCAGGGTTTGACGACGACAACGGAGTTGAACATTCTGGTCGTGCGGTCGGGCAATGTCGCTTGGATCCTGAGGAAGTACTTGATCCCCGAAACAACCTGTCGTTGAACCTCCACCACCTCACCGAACATCAATGGATTGAACCCTTCTTCTCCACCCGATTTCCCGTGTTCTCGCTGTTCTTTCAGGTTGAATTCCTCCACGCAGTACCTGCGTAAATGGTTTAGAAATCGAATCATGAATTTGATGGATATATACTTTCTTGCTTGCTTTCAGTATATATATTGATCCATGTGACAACCAATCTCTTTGAGAAATTCGATCACTTGGCCCTAGATTTTGTGGGTTTACAAGAGAACGGACCCACTCCTACTCTTACAACAATGATAATCTAGCATATGATCAAGATTCGTGGTCTTGTGATTCGAAAACAAACAAAAAAATGGACACAACTATATGAATATATATATATATACACACCTTCCGAGTTCTTGGAGTTCTTTGTTGGATGCGACGTCCAGCACTACCGACCTGCCGCCGACCAACTTCCGGTGGCAGTACGACGGTCGGGCCAAGGCAGAAACCAGCACCGACACCGTCAACAATCCGAAAGACAACCTCGTGATTCTCGCAGCCATTTTCGATCTCCTCGTAATCAATCAGTCGTCGCTCGCTCTTTTTTGTTACACCGAAACCGTTGATTGAAAAAGAGATTTTGAGTGTGTTGTGTTGTGTTCTCTTTGTATTGTTTTATAGGAGAGAAAGTGGTGGGAATGTAATGGCCCCATGCCAATGTACGTATATGTATATACGTGCGAGTATACCGGTGGATACTGTGTGTATTACGATGGGATCCTTCTCCCACTGTTTTCATTAAAAAAAATAATTTTTTTATAAATTTTATAAGTTATTAAATAAAATTAGTAAAGTGTTTTCGTATTAAAATAAATACACACATATATATATATGTATTTATATCTGTGTTATACATGTAGCTAGCACAAATTAGTTCCAGTTATTTATCGTAGTACGGATTTTATACGGTCCATATAAAGTTCACATCAATATAAAAGCATGAAACAAATTGAGTTCTATCCAAGGTCTCTTATATATCATCACCATCGTAATTCTATAAATCGAGTTCCAGTTCTTTATCGTAATTCTATATATATTGATCAAAATAAGGCTGTAATTTTGTAACAAAAAAATAAAAAAAAAATAAGACTGTATTTACATGATTATGTAATATTTTTCATCAATATCAATTAAAAGGATTGGACCAGCTAGGTATAATTGTAGAATAAAGATTCGTCTAATATAATATATTATCATATGATACTGCTGCGTGAGAAAGGAATGGGCCTTCTTATCGCCTCGTATTTTGATTTGAGTTTGGATATAGAGCGTGAGCGCGACACGTGTCCACTCTCCTTGACAAGTGGCCTTCCCGTCTCTGCATGCGGCTCACGTGGAACCTCTCCTGACTGCCCACCGCCATTGTACGGCTAAGGATACTCCAATCAAATTCGTCGAAGTTCTTAAAAGCATATACTTACACAAATATGGAAATATTCCAATTCATAATTCATTTTCCAAACCTAATAATCAGTAAAAAAAGTTGCTGGGACAGCGTGGAAATTATGTTTAGAACATTTTTTTTGTAAAACATAAATTCTAAAGTATTTCAAACAAATTCATTTAAATAATAATTTTTAAAATAATTTTAATTTGAATATTAAAAAAAACTTAATATAAATATAATATTTTTAAAGTAAATATTTTCAATTTAAATTCAATCTACAAGATAATCTAATGTAAAAATATAATATATAAATTTGTAAAAGAATGAAAAATAACCAAGTTAGAAACGGAAATGCGCATTTATAGCGGACACTCATCTACATTTATTTTAGATTCCAATATTAAAGATTTAAAAGGGGAAAACTCATTCGTCAATTAAACCTACTAATTATGCATATCCTTAATGTTAAAAGTAAATAAATTTGTGATCACATTGCATATAAAATTTCACATAATAATTAACAAATGAAATTTGCCAAAAATTTTGGAAATCTATTTTAGATATTAATATATTTTTCCTTTGTATTTATTTTTTATTAAAATATATTTGTTTTTTTCTATACCAATTTCTGTCTCTTACAAGGAGATATGGGTGAGGTTCACAAGATTCTCTACCGATTAATTTTATTATATTCATTGAATTTTTCAACCCGAACAATGCACATTTGAGCTCCACATGGTGCTAGAGGAAAATTCATATATATATATATATATATATATATATATATATATATATATATATATATATATATATATATTTTCTTATATTTTTATG